CGAACATATTTTGACCCGTTGCGCAATTAAACTAAAGCGACAATATAATTTGACATGATAAGTACGTATAATTCTACCTTAAATCTAGGGTAGATTTAAAATCTTGGGTTGATTATTACACACTTGTTAAAGGTATATTTTAACACCCGAAAAATTATGGTATATTTTTCTACCCATAGGGTCGGATATACAAAGTACCTTTACGGGTAGAAAAATCTATTTTTTTTTTAGTGTGTATTACAAAAGGTATAAGCAGTTTTATGTCAATATTTGAAGCACCATGACACAAACATATCATTAGGGCAGTTTATACATGCATCAAAGTAGCCGTATATGTGCTTTATTTGAAAAATACCTGCCGCTTAAATGGTATAAATGTCTATATCTATAGTAAAGCCATAAACACTATAAAATCATAGGTACCACTATAAGTAAAACAAGAAACAAATATTTGGGCTATTAAAATAGTACTGTGTAAAAAATGCTACATAAGAAGACCTTGGATGATTATCTTCGAGACACATACCAAGAAATAAGAGGCCGTATGATCATTATTTGTGTTTTCGAGAAAATCAAGTTTGAAATTTAAATTAAATATATATTGATAATAAACTGGAAAAACATAAAAATGTGGACTGTTGACCCTATGGTGCTCGACTAATAAACAGTTACATAACTTAAACTAAAATTGCGTTACTTCTAAACTACTCTCAGATTATAAATATGCTAAAATTCTATCAATGGCGTAAATACGGTATAGGAAACGTTTTTACACGGTGTTCTGAATGCCCATTTTATTATTCACAGACATATCATATAATTCTTTAGCGAGTATATCAGTTTTAGCAGGCAGCGGGTACCTTTAAAAACAATTTTTGTAAATAGTAACATTTAATATATAAAGAATTTTATTGACCAATATGAAGGCCACCCAGAGGCGATTCTTCCGATGAAATAGTTTTGCCGACTGCCAGTCCAAAAAAAAAAAAAAGTCGTCAAAACTCCGAATTTAACGACTGGTTGACTGATTTCCCAAAAACTGACTATAACTTGAAAATTTCCTTCGTAGGGGGAATGATAGAGGTAGAGGGGGGGGGAAAGAAGAAAAGGGAGGGGTAGACCCCCGTAAAATCGGCCCTTAGGCCACCTATACTTCCAAATGATATATAATGTTTCTTCTCTATTATATGCGATATCGCTAATATCGCATTATTGAAGAAACTCAGGTACAAAGGAATACTTTCAAAAAACCTTTGCTTATAACAATCACTTGAAAAAAAGAATCAATAGTTAATCTAATTTACCTGCTATAGAATATTGGATAGGATTTTCAAATTTTACTTTTTCTTGTAAAATTGGTTTTGTGCAATACCATTGTTGGTAATACTTTATCAGCAATGCATTTAACAAATAGAAATTTGTAGGTATACTGCATAGCAGGTTCTTTTTAAGGAGTGTGTACATTACAAACAAATAAAATGTATATTAAACCAGATCACTGTGTCATAAATCGACCCTCAGGTTGAACTTTATCCAACTTGAAAAAAAAAATGCCATCAATGAGATATTTATTAGAATATTAAAAATTAAACATTTTAAAAATCCAAGGGTGCATTTTTTGACTGGGGGGGGGGGGAGGGTCCAAAATCCTATTGAAAATATTAACAATATGAGGGCAGAGGGGTCTTGACCCTCTACTTGCCAAATTTTTTTATATAAAATATAAATCTAGCATAAAATATAGAAATATATTTAAATTTTTTATTAATTGGCGCGAAATGCGCCAATAATTTAAAGAATAATTTAATAAATTTTCTAAATCATAAAAAATTGTATTATAATACTCATGGCAATATTTTCATTTTAGTAAATAAAAAAAAAAAAAAAACTAAAAAGAGTCTTATTGCAGTCTAAGATACCATTGAAAAACTGGTGCAGACGTATGTATACTCTGGATACATGAAAGAAATTGCAGCCTATCCTTCCTCTATATGTGGAAATTGCAAAACTAATTTGTACATGCTTGCAAAAAGAAAGAAACCACCAACCAGATGGACACAGAAGATAGAAAAGGTTAGGTTTAAATTAATTGCATCTGTTAAAATAGAATTTTAAAGTATCTGCTAAATTATAAAGCTGACAACTCAGTCATAAAAAGTCTAAATGTCAACTCTGAATAATTATTATATAGATTGATTGGATTTCTAAGAAGCGCAAGTCTGACATTGTTACAATTGAGATTGATGAGAGCTCTTCTACATCTCTAATAATAGGTAATATAAACAGAAGATTTTAAAATGTTACATGATATTGGTATAGTCTAATTTTCGTTAACAATATTTATTTAGGTCGTGGCTTTGAGCACAAATGCTGCAAATCAACTGCTGTAAAAAACCTTACATCATTGGCATTGAAACAAGGTATGCACAGTGCAGAGCAGGTGGCTTCTTCAATAATCAAGGAAAAAATGAACAAAAAAAAAGTAAATTCAGGAGATCTATTTTATTTAGCCACCTGCGGAAAACCGCAGATAATAAGAGTTGGTCGTCCTGAGAACAAAGGAGGCAGAAATCAAATCCAGCAAATCTCTTTTGAAACATTCAAGCAACTTTGACTAAATCTTAATCTTTCAAACAGAGGAACTAGAAAACTGATTTTTGCTTGTAACAAAGCCACAGGAAAGAGAGTTGTCCAGTCAGAAGTGACGAAGTTAGATCTTGAATTAACTGTGAAAAATTATTACAGTGTTCAGTCCATGCAATTTGAAGTTGGGGATAAAAAGGTTGATAGGAACCTAGTTTTTGTAAAAGATTCTTCAGATTTTGTTATGGACATTATAAGTGAGAGAGGGTTAAATCCTTATAATACCATTGTACGAGTTTCAATTGATGGAGGTGGATGGAGGAGGTTCATTGAAAATATGTGTTAACATCTTTGATGCAGATGAACTTAAAGTTAACAGTTATTAAATAAAAAACAGAAGTAAACGTCTGGGATATTAAGAATATATTGGGTCTGGTGTGCAACGTATACAGTTTATTGCTATTGCTGAAGATGTTCCAGAAACATATCAGAATATAAAACAAATTTTAGATATTATCCAGCTAGACAGCCTGGATTTTCATATTGCATGGGATTTAAAGTTGGCTAACATAATTATGGGTTTATCTGGCCAAGGTGGCATCCATGCATGTTTATATTGTGAAAGTGAGAAGACTATAAATGCAGGAACTCTAAGAACATTTGAAAGCCTTGATCTTCATCTTTCAGAGTATCAAGCAGCAGGAGAAAAAAAAAACAGCACAGCTGTACAAAAATGTTATACGAAAAAGGCTTATTCATCTTGATGAAGATCCAGAAGTCAAAGTTATAAATAAAATTCCTCCATCATCGTTACATATATTTATGGGTTTTATTAATGTCCTCAGCGACCTAGTTTTTACTCTCTGGCCAAACTTTAATCAGTGGCTGTCTGGAAAATACATTCTCAGACATGGCTATTATGGAGGAGGGTTTGATGGAGTAAACTGTAACAAGATATTGAATAATCTTCAAGATCTAGAAGATGCATTCCTAAATGATTGTCAACAGCTAATACCTATTATAACATGTTTCAAAGATTTAAAGTGTGTCGTGGATAACTGTTTTTGTGATTTCCTTAGTCCCAATGTCAAGCATTCTATTGCTAGATTAAAAGACTCATATAATTACCTAATAGAGTTTTCAAAAGGCTATAATTACACCTTACCTACAACATGGAAGGTCCACATCATGTTAGCGCATATTGTTCCTTTTTGTGAAGAAAATCAATGTGGTCTAGCCAGATTTGCAGAACAAACTGTAGAAGCTACTCACTCTAAGTTTAAACCAACTTGGACAAGATACAAAAGAAATGTCAGTCACAAAGACCATGGAAAAAACTTGCATAAGGCAGTTTCAGACTTCTCATCGAGACGAAGAAAGTAACTTAAAGATAATATTAATTAACTTTATAAATACTATGCAGTAACTTAATTATATAAAGATCTGTAAAAGTATTTAGCTTTATATAATTTTCTATAAAACTTGTCTTCTACCTACAAATCACCAATAGGCCGGATTTAGGTTCACTAAAATCAATCTTTGAACAAAATAAAGATAAAAGATATATAAATTTAGCATAAAGCTTTTAAAAAAATCAAATATATTTTGGTGAATAAAGTTATCATTTATTATCATTATTATTCGGGGAAGATGGAAGGAAGAGGGATGTAAATAAAAAATTTATCCATCCAGTCGGAATCACGTGACTGTATTGCGAAACCAAAAGTAACCATATTGAATTGGGGGAAAAAAAACTATTCTTTCCTTAGCGAAGGTAAGACTTTTTTAGAAGCACTATGTCCTTCAATTACTTTAAAACTTTATCAAAAGAAGCAGCGGAAAGGTATCAGCGAAAAATAAATCTTCTAGGTAATTTTACTTTAGTTTTACTCTGTTTAAATTAAAAAAATGCTATTAATTGCTGTTTAAATATTATTTTGGTTTAAATATTCTTTTGGTTATTAAATATTATTTATTGGTTATTAAATATTATTAGGGTTAAGTAAATGTCCATACAAGTTTACAGCAGATTTTTGGAGTGAAGATCCAAGTCAGTGGCCTTCTTTAAGCTATCACAATCTTTATCACTACTTGATTAAAACTCCACGTAAGGAATTCTTATCTAATTTCAAAGTTTTTTTTATTATTTCATTATACCAATAATATTAGTAACATTAACTGCTAACATTTCAAAAATTTTTTGTTTTCTTTGCTTTATAATATATATTATGGATGTATATACATGGATGTATATTATATTATGCTTTATATTATATATTATTTAAAAAAAATTTATATACAAAATCCTAATATAATTTTTTCAATGTTAACGTTTATTAGGTATCTATTCTCCAGAAGCAATGGAAAACTATAAGGCATTTGAGGCTTGGAAATTCTTTCAAGATGGGTAGGTCCAAACTATTGTCCATATGAAAGTATGTCAGAATGTTACTATCTTGAAATGTAAGGTTCGACCTTCATATAGGACCACATCTCCTAACCATAAACCTTGGGTTGCTCTCAACTCTCTTGGTAATATTTTAACTGCTCACTGTGACTGTATGGCTGGGTAAGTCTCTTTTATATAAAATTAGTAAAAATAGAATTAATAATTTTGATTATTAGTATAAGCTAATAAAAAATTAATAAACTGATAATAATTGTGAGTTATTTTGTGAAACTTTTCATATGTTTTTATACCTATAGTTTACCTATAGTTTTTTATCGACTATAGTTTTATAGTTTTTATCTATTTTTTAAGTCTTGGTGAAACGTGCTCACATGTTGCTGCAATGCTATATAAAATTGAAGCTGCTGTTCGTATTGGAATGACATCAAGCACATCAACTGACTTGCCTTGTCAATGGAACCAAACATTTACGAAAAGTATTGTTGGCTCCCCAGTTGCTCAAATTAACTTATATTCTGATGCTGCAAAAGAAAAACTTTCTAAAAAGAGTAAAAGAAAAATGCCTATTTCTCCAACACCTCAAGAAAAAAATGATTTTTTATCAGAAATACAAACTGTGCAGCCCAAAACTGCTGCTCTTCATTTGTTTAAAGATTATGATAAGGAGTTTATTCAAATAGAATCTGCTGTCGTACCAAAATTACCAACATCTTTAAGAGAGTTTTTTAATGAAAACTATAAATCACTTAATAATGAACAAAAGCTATCTTATCTTGATGAGAAAAAAAAAGAAATAAATTTGACTTCTGATATGATAGTTTATGTTGGAGAAGCAAAACGACATCAATCGCTATGTGATACCTGGTTTAGAGTAAGAGTTGGTCAAATAACTGGCTCCACTTTGCATCAAGTTTTTAATGCTAGAGTTGAAACACCTTCTGTGTCATTAATTTTAAATATTTGTGCACAGAAAAATATACAGATAAAAAGTCCTGCAATAAAGTGGGGAAGAGTAAATGAAATAAATGCATTGATTTTATATAAACAGATTCATTCTGACTCAAATGCAATAAGTAACTCAAAACCACTGTCAGATATTTTTATTCATCAAAATTTGAGAGTTGAAAAAATTGGACTTTGTATTGACTTTGAAAAACCATGGTATGCAGCATCTCCTGATGGTGCTGTTTATTGTACTTGTTGTGGGCATGGAGTTTTAGAAATTAAATGTCCTTTTAGTTTAAAAGACAAGTCATTAAAAGAGCACATAATTAAAAATGCTTTTTATGTTGGTGTAAACGCGGATGGAAACTACTTTTTAAAAAAAGAACACCAATATTTTTTCCAGGTTCAACTTGAAATGAGAGTAACTGGAGTCAGTTACTGTGACTTCATGGTGTGGACACCCAGTGAATTTGTTGTATTGCGCATTGAGCCTGACACCACTTTCATTGAGAATGTATTAATTAAGTGTGATATCTTTTGGAATACTTTTATTTTGAGAGAGTTAGTTACACGAGAAATCGAATCAGAAAGAGAATTGCTTTCCTCAACATCAAATAATACTATAAATAAAGACATACTTTTTTGCAGTTGTAAATCTAAGTTTTCAAAGTGATGATACAATGGTTGGTTGTGGTTCATGTGATAACTGGTTTCATCTTAAATGTTTATCTTTGAAATCAGCGCCTAAATCTTCTGTATGGTACTGCAGTGACTGTAAATACAAAAAAAAGTTCCTACACACTATAAAAGTAATTTATGTATTTTTAATTTTAAAATATAATTATTAGTTTTTTAAACTATATATTAAATACATTATGGAAATTTCTTTTAGCCTTTTATACAATAATGGTGCACAGTTGAGAAATCAAGAAAACATTGGCTTGCTCAATTAAAAGAATATGTATCTTCTTGGTGAGTTAAAAAAACGGCTATTTTCATAGCCACATATTATTAAAAACATATTAAGGCGTACGTTTTGAACTAATACAGTTATAAATAAAATACTTATAGCCAGTTAAGTTGTTTTGCGCTTTATATGAAAACCCTTGCCTGTCAAAAAGAGAAAATTCTTCATAATAACCTTGGATTAGGGTAGGTGGCACTTTTAGATGCTTATTAAAAGGGTGACTCTCGATATCTTGTTTTATGGTTTTGATTTTTTAAACAGTACATTAAAAGGTTTTATTTTTATCCGTGTCTTTATAATTTTTTTACTTTAAAGTCTGATTACACCAAAAGTTTCAAACTTGTAACCCCTACCCCCTCTCTCTCTTTCTCATAGAACTTTTTAAAAATAATAATAAACATGGAAGAAGATAAAATAAAAGAGGGGGTCTTAATGTATTTTTCAAAAAGTAGTGAGGTCATAAAACGATCTGAGTATTTTTATCTTCCTTTATATATAACTAAAGGTAGCTTTAATTTGCAGGGTTGACGACATCATGGAGACACCGAGCCCCATCCCCCCCCCCCCAACCACTTTTTTTCTAAAGGACCCTTTTTTTTTCTTTTAGAAAATTCAAGATATCGAGGACTTTTCTTAGAAATTGATAATTATGCCCCTCCACTTCGAAACTCATGTCGTTGGCCATGGTTTGGTACAGAAGATTTTTAGAAATTTAACCTTCTCTGATTTTTTAACGGGAGTTTGAATTGCGTTGCTTTTCTCTAAACCGACTAACACCCTGGTTTTTTTCCTTTATTCGTGTACGTTTTTAACACCGTAGAGAATTACTCTCAATTAAAAACCTACCTTTTTTAAAATTATAACTTACAACAGTTCCTTGTAATGTTTAAAAATAAAAAACAAAGAAAATTGTCTGCAGGGCTGGAATTATAAAATATGTTAGCATGTATGGGGTTAACCGTGAGCATGTAGAGGGGTTAACTGAGAGCATACAGGTGTGTACAGCAAAGGATGGCCTTCAAGACGGCAAGTATTTACGCGGTTTTTTTTAACCAAAGACAATAATTTTCATTCCTTCTGTTAAGAACGCATGTTTTTTAGTTATGCACAAAAAATTTTATAAGTTTTGATTTTGTTTGGTTTTACAATTTTGAAATATTACTTAGAGTACTCGATTTTATAATAATAATATATATGTATATATATATATATATATATATATATATATATATATATATATATATATATATATATATATATATATATATATACATATATATATATATATATATATATATATATATATATATATATATATATATATATATATATATATATATATATATATATATATATATATATATATATATATATATATATTGGAATAGCATATAACAAAAGACAATAGACTATGTATTTTTTGTTACCAATAATAAAACCACTAATCTCTTGTAAAGAATTATCTATACCAAGTAATACTTTTAATATGATTTGTGGCTATGAAAATAGCCGTTTAAAAAATAACTAAGATAAAAGGTGAGTTTTATCGTAAACAATACCTTCCCCAAGGTTTGTTAGAGCAGCGCATACGGTTACTATTTTGTCACAATTAGAAAGAGTAAGTGACGTAGCTTCGTCAGAAATGTTTTTAACTGTTCGCAGCGGCAAAGTACCTTGAAGAATTGTATAGCGGTTTTTTAATAGTCCAATAACTCTTTCAACATGTATTCTAACCGATGATATATTACGAGATTTTTCTACATCTGAAGCAGAAAGTTGAGCTTTACCTTTCGTAAAAGCTGGGTTTATCAATAAAGAGCAGCTTTCAGCAGCAAAATCATCTTGCAATGTAAAACCTCTATCTGCTAAAATTTGATCACCTGGCATATGGTACTTGCTAGATGCGAATTCTGATTCACGGACAATTTGATTATCTGAAGCTCTACCTCCATAGCACTTAGAAATAAAATTGATAGCTCCAAGAGGTGTACACGATATAAGACATTTTATTGTGCAATTCTTTTTATATTGGCTGTAAAATTGTGCTCTTGCCATAAGGGATGATGGCGATTCCATAAAAACCTCAAAACAATCAATAATCGATGTTAATCGTGGAAATTTGCACTTGAAAACTGGAGGAATTGTGTCGTAAATATGATCCCTATCTTGCATTTTTATTAAAAACTTTAATTTAATATACATAATATCTATCCATTTCCAAAAATTGTTCAATGCAGTAGTTTTTTTAAAACCAAACATAAACGATAACATATCAAAGTTAATGTTGTGCCTTAACTTTACTAAGCAGAATACAATTTGATCTGCTGAATCCAATCTTTTAAGTAAACTTTCATCAGTTCCTTTGCACAGGAAACACAGCAGCTTTTCTAATACTGGTAGACTTAAACCTGTAAACATAGTGCATTTATCAGGTTGTGATCGAATTTTATTTATTCCCAGGTTGCAATTATCAAATTTTAAGGACATAAACTTTGACATAAATAAATCTCTTTCTAAACGAAGATTATTTATTTCACTATAGAGTTGTTGTCTCTCCGATGTTGTTACAGGTCTTATGCCATCAATATCTGAATACAAATTAAAAAAACTCTCAGTGGAATTTTGCTTCAACTGACAATCGGTGTCAGTTGAAGCAAAATTCTACTGAGAGTTTTTTTAGAACACTTGTTTCTAAAAAAATAGAAAAAAAAAGTATTTATATTTACTTCTAAGTAGGTAAGTATTTATATTTACAAATATTTTATATAAAAGACAAAGATATAATTGAAGCTAAGATAAATATTTTTTTGTAACTCTTATTGGAATCTTCAGCACTTATAGGAATAGGAAATTCTGGAAAAAATTAAAACACTGTATTTATAAAGAATTTCCAAAAAAAAGAAGAAATATATATAAATTGGTCATTTGAGTAACACCTCATATACAAAAAAATAAATCTCAAAAAAAAACCATATTCATACATCTTTTGAATTTTTTTGTATTTTTCTACTGGAGTGACTAAGTGGAGATGATTTGTTTTTTGCATGTTGGATGTGTCTAGCCTTCATAAACAATTTAATGTCTAACTTAATTTTGGCCAAAAATGGACATTTCTCAAAAGACTGATTCATATATATTAATTAAATAGTAATCAATACCTTGTTTAAAAATATCACTTGAGCATTGTTCTAAATTACCTTCATTAGGTGTAGAAAACCAAAACTCTAGAAGAAAAAATCAAACTTTTTTTAAAATGTATGTAGATTTGAATACAATAATTAATCCTTGTTTAAAATCTTTACAAAAACATTGTTCTAGAAGATTTTTATTTGCATTTAGGATTACTAGGTTCTGGAAAATATTAACAAATAAAGTGTTTATCAATGAGTTTTACAATTGTGCAAAATAAAAAACATAAAAAATTATTCTAAAAAAAAAAAAGGTTTTAACTTAAAAATTATCTATAAGCTTCAGAGCATTGATTGAAAATATTTTCATTATTCATTGGAAAATAAATTCTTGAGAAGAATTTTTTATTAATTTACAATAAACATTAACAATACAAAATACAAAAAATTTAATAGCAATTGTATGCTTTATTCATATCTATTCTAAAACTATTGCTAAATTATTGTTTTATAATAATTCTATTAGGTATAGAAACGCTAAAATCTGGGGAAGAAAAATCAAAATTTAAAGGAAAATAAAAGAATATATACATTTGAATATGATAATCAATACCTTCGCTAAAACTTTTGCTTGAGCTTTGTTTTAAAAGATCTTCGTTACATGTAGAATTACTTAAACTTATGCTGGAACATTGTTCTAATTGCTCCTTATTTGATTCAGAAGGATAAAATTCTAGAAATGTTTTAAAAAAATCATTTTTTTTTAATTTAAGAGATTAAGTTAAAATTTAAACTTTACTTCTTTAAAATTTAAAAACAATACCTTGTTTCTCAAAACTCTTGCTAGAACATTGTTCTAAAATACTCTCTGTATATGCAGAATCATTGATTTCTGAAAAATTAAATACAATTTTTTCACAGTTTTTTTTTATTCATTTACATTACAGCTACAACACATAGTCATTCATTTATAATATCAATAAAATTAACTAATTTACTTCATTATTAAATATTAATGACCTTTACTACATAAGCTCTTTTTTTCAATTACAAAATCAACTTTTTCTCTGTTAGATTTATCAAAAAGTTTTAGTTTCTTACATACAGGAACAACCAAATCTGTTTAACAAAAACAACATAAAAATTCATCAAAACAAAACAAAAACATAGCATTTCAAAATACAAAATGAGAGTATTACTAAAAATTATTTGAAATAAAAATAATTTTTACTTTGTCTACTTATTCTTCTATTGACTCTATTAATTCTATTATTATTAATTTTTCTTTGAGGGGAACTTAGTTTTTCAGTATCAAAGATTGAAGGAATTGAGTCTGGATGTTTTTCAAAAAGTTCTCTTTTTCCTAAACAATTGTAAATATTGTAGTATAAAAAGTACTGATATATGTATATGTATTTATCAATACTAATTTAAGATGCAAAGTAAAAGTACCCACCAGTAATAAAATGTGCCGAACAAACCTAAACATTAGAAGATTCAGGAGACCACTGCTTCCTACATGCACTATTATCTGCAGCACGATTTATCACATTTAGCCACTTTCTTCGAAGTATTTCATCTCGAGGAAGACTATAAAACTTAAGTTCTTGATTTTTTTTAATATTGTTAGTGCAACCAACAACACAACAACTTTTTGGCATTTTTTTAAAAAAGTACTCAACAAACCGCTATGGATTTTTTAGTTTGTTTTACCCCAATTCAAGATGGTTAATTAAAAAAAAAAAACTTTTAAATACGGTGTGACGTCACGCCGACTGGATGGATATATATTTCTATCTTTTATGCTAGATTTATATTTCATATAAAAATTTGGCAAGTAGAGGGTCAAGGCCCCTCTGCTCTCTTATTCTGATAATATGAATACGCTAATTTAATATTAGTCGAGTTACGTCATTTTCTAGGCTTTTTTATTTCAAAGTAGTTTCTAGGCTTTTCTATACGCGGTTTTTTTTTTCTAACAACGCGTAATACGGGTTGCTTACTGCTAGTATTAATAATTCCAATAGGATTTAAGACCCCCTCCCCCCAGTCTAAAAATGCACCCTTGGATTTTTAAAATGTTTAATTTTTAATATTCTAATAAATATCTATTTGATGGCATATTTTTTTTTAAGTTGGATAAAGTTCATCCTGAGGCTCGATTTATGACACAGTGAGATTATAAGTATCAAGTTTACAAATTTTTATTTTATCAAATTTAATTTATTTATTGTTTTAACCGCTCTACTTCATTCTTATTAAGTTGTTTTTTTTATTAATTTTAGTATAGACTGGTTAAGTTAAAAAATTAACAATTTTATTGAATTTTCTAATATTGAGCAAATGTAAATGATATTTGCAAGTGAAACATAACTGTACAGCATTTGTAGTTAGTAATAAAAACTATTTATTTGTGCTGTAGAATAAAATTAAAAAAGTTTCCTTACTATTATTTTGATTGGTTCTGGCAATCTTGACAAATCCAAATTTTGTCTTCATTTTCATAGGCACTTGGTGGAATTTTTTCACAATCACGATGAAACCATTTACTACAAACACAGCATTGTGCAATTTGCCTTAAAAAACTAATCCATCTACAACATAAAAAACTTGTAAAATCCAGATATCAATTAAAGCATTGCATTTTTCAATGTTTATTTTTTAACTAAACTCATTACAATTGTGAAAATATATCTGTTAAATATATCTTCGTCTCCAGGTATCCAAAACATGCGACATGAGCAATGCAGTGGAACGCGAATTACATCTTTTAAACAAAAGAATTTTTAGTGGCTGCAAATATCTCTATCCTGTTTTTTGATATACATTTCATGAGATGACTTCTCTGATACTTGATCAAAATTTCATTTGATCAAATATCATATTATTGACGGTATACTTTTTGTTTCAAGAATCTGACGAACCGATACAATGGCATAAATTCCACAATCCACACCATTTGTTTGCTGTTGAACTGGCAACACTTTGAAAACAAGATTTTTTTTGTTGACAATATAAAATAGAGCATATTGCCTTGTTACCTGCAAGCTGATGAAACCGTGGAAAAGGCTGTCAAATAAATATATATATATATCTCCCATGGTCTGCAATCATATGTGGTCATACATAGCCAGCGAAGATTTCCATCATGAATATCTTGGACAAATGGATAGATATGGAGAGAAAACACTTGTACTATTTTTTGATTTTTCAGACCAACATCAATATTTAACTGAAGTGACATTAGTTACTGACAAAAATGAATCACTTTATCATTAAGCATCTGCCCCTTTGAAAGGTCATACTGTTCTCTTCTTCCAATCAATGAAGATTTTAGACTTTGAATGGTTGCTAGTTGTTTATCATCTTTGATCATGTTGGCGTCATGCGAGTGATTAATATCATTGGTTGAAAGATTATTCAATTTAATTGCATTATTAGAAACAGTAATAGTATCACAATTGTCAAAAATAATCAAATCAATGTGACAACCTCAGAATTTGTAGTATCTTTTTAAGCCATTACACTAATATCTGTGGCTGCTTTACAAATGTTGTATTAACTTTTTTAGTCAATTTTCATTTGATATGGCTAAGTTTAGGTGTATTTGTTCATGACCTACTCCAAGTATCAGGTTGAGTCTCAGGACGCAGCAGAATTCTTTTTTTCTGTTGGAAGACTGTTTGCTAATTTTTTTTTAAGTTGACGTAGTTCTGTAAACAAATTATCAATAGCTTGTTGCGATTAACATAAATAACTCATTTGTCTAATTTCACCTAAAAGCTTATGACAAGTTGCAGATGTATGGTCCTCAGCAATCACACCATGACTACTATTTACTTGTGGGCAATAAAAACGTTTTGTTTCCACTACATTCTGTTTAGTAAGTGGAGATAGACAGGTTAGTAAGTCGTGCTGTATGTCCAAATGAATATTTTGTAGCAATTGGATTGTGCTAAAAAAATTTCAGCTGACAATAAATGAAATAAGGAGAATTTCGCATAGGAGTTGCAATTAGAACATGAACAAGTTGGCAAGTGTTCTGAATCACTAAGGTAGTATTGGTATACTTCTTGACTATTTTAATTAAAAGAAGCAACGTCTGTCATAGCACTAATGCTCCGCAAATCTACATCTTGTAATTTATCTATTAGTTTCATACAATGCATAACTAAAGATGGTGGCCGATTAGTCAAACAAGCTGGAAGTTCATTGTGGTATTTCCTATATGAGGCATGTTATTATACTATCTTATATTATAAGTAATTATATTATATTATATTATATGAGTCATGTTTTTATATGATCATCACAATAACTAAAAATAAATGAAAAGTAGACAATCTACAAATCCTTTTACCAGTGGCATTTAGACAACCTTTAAGCGTTAAAAAAAATTTGGTTTGTAAGTTAATAAATTTAAATTCATCAACAGATTTTCTAATTTAAAAATCTTTTATTGCAAGAAAGTTATGACATTGTTTTCAAAAAATCATAAGTTTTAAATAATTATAAATTCAAATTAAAAACCTAGGAAATTATTTTTATAATAGGTAAATAGAATAAGCTAAATAAAATTTAACAAAAGGAACCATCGGAGGAACTCTTGAAGTTAGAATAACAACCTTGTCTTAAAAAATAAAAGTTATTTGTACCAAAAAAACAAAAAGTAATTAATGTATCAACTAACTTGTCATATTTGTGCGGAGGATATTCTTCTATGTAAATACTGAGCATATCTGTTAGTAAAGAATTCTTTCTTTTTTCTAAAAAACTGTATTTGAAAGATTGATTCTGCCTTTCATTTCCATTTTTGGTGTTGACATTCAGCAAAATTTTGAATACATAACCAAGTTATGTATTCAAACCTTTGAATACATAACCAAGTGTTTTTCAAATATTCTACAAGTTTTAGGTTATTTCGCCATTTTAGTGATTCCTCTAATTTCTCAGCTGCTTTTTGTTACAATAGGGTGTCCTATACTCGCAAAATTTTCGAATTATCACACTAACTTTTAAATTGAGGTTTAGACTAAGAAAAAAATAGCATTTACTAAGTATTTTTAAAAAAATTTACTATCTTATTTATACTGTAAAAAAAATTTGAGTTAAAAAAAATAATTTAACGGTCCCCCCAAATTGAATAACTAAGTAATTTTGTAATTTAACATCGTCAGAAAGTATTTATTAACCGTAAAGGCTTAAATTTGGTACATTATAAATATGTATTCATAAAAAATCATATATAAAAAAAGCATGTGTCTAAATAAAAAACTTTTATTGCCTTATTTTAACCAATAAATTATTGTAAAACAATGATTGCTTTTAAATTAAACACTCAGTATAAAGAAAGTTTATTTTCCTGTTGTTTCTTTAGCAGCGTGGTCAATATAAAATTCGTTTGTTTTAATATAAAAGTTGTTCGTATATAAAAGTTGTTCGTATATAAAAGTTCGTATATAAAAGTTATTTGTATATAAAAGTTGTTCGTATATAAAAGTTCGTACATAAAATTTATTCGTATAAAAAAAGTTCGTATATAAAAGTTCGTATATAAAAGTTGTTCGTATATAAAAGATATTTGTATATAAAAGTTATTCGTATATAAAAGTTCGTATATAAAAGCTATTTGTATATAAAAGTTTGTATATAAAAGTTGTTCGTATATAAAAGTTATTCGTATATAAAAGTTGCTCGTATTTAAAAGTTCGTATATAAAAGTTGTTCGTATATACAAGATATTCGTATATAAATGTTGTCCGTATATAAAAGTTGTTCGTATATAAAAGCAGGCCCGGTTTTAAGCGTAGGCGACGTCGGCGACAGCCGACGGCGGCACTTTTCTAGAGCGGCACTTTTCTTAATTTATTTTGTGTTTTCCCAAAAAAAAAAAAATTAAAATTTTTTTTTTGTAACAAGAAATTATTTTATTTTTTTTACGGGAACTTTAATACATACTAATTTTTTCAAATAAATAATATAGTAATAAAAGTGTTTGTTTGTATACATGTTTTACATTTGGGATTAGGCGAAGAAGAAACAGTAAAAAAAAGTTTCTTTTTTCTTTTTAAGGGATGGATGTTAGCAAACCGCCAAATATACAAACAAACGAATTCTATTGGTTCATAAAATACGCTGACTAAGCAAATTAAAGTTCCAGAATATTCCTAAGAAACTTTCTTAAAAATTTTATTGAAGTTATCTTTGAGATATCTATTGTAAATTGTTATAAAAGTGTTTTATTAAACGAACTTTAACTTTGAAAAAAAAAAAAAAATTATTATACCCTTTTATAAATTGATTAATATTTGTCTAACAATAATTTTTATAAGTAAGTAGTTAAAGTTAGTTTTTTCGTTTTCTTTTTCATGTATTTGAATAAACTTATTATTATTATTATTATTATTATCATTAAATATAAAAATTCAGGTATATGTATCAATGCTATATTTTTTTTAAGTTTAAATTCTTTAAACGATACAATATAATGGACCGTGGTAAGAGACAGCGCTTGTCTGGGTCACAATACAAGAAAATTAGGCTTCAACGTGAAGCAAATTCTGCCAAGCTTTGAAGAATGCTTTGTTGCACTTTTTGAGCAGGTCATCTAGCAAAAAAGCACTGGCACCTATAGTAGCTTCAACTTCAAACCAAAATGAAGTTGAAATTGAAATCGAAAGCGGTGGAGAAATAGAATATGCGGATAGTGTTAGTGTTAATGAATATAGAAATTCTGGAAATGATGGTACTGCTAAAGAACCAGAAAATATTGATGAAGTGGAATTTATCTCCAATTTAAGTGAAGTTGTTGTACAGAACGTCGATGATATAGGACAAAATGAAAACAATGAAGATCAAAGTGGTGAAGACCCCAAAACCAATAAAGATTTGCCTCTTAATTTTAATGATCCGGCAAAATGGCCTATAATAGATGGTAAATTTAAAGCATCGCTGATGAAGTATGGTCCAATTCAAAAATTGCCGTCTTTATTTCCCGAAGATGAACAAGGTAGAAAATTTTCAAGCTTTTATTTTTATCGCCGAATGTCTAATGGCGATAAAATTAAACGCACTTGGTTGGTGTACTCCATTGCGAAAGACACTGTATTTTGGTTTTGCTGTAAGATATTTAGTCCGAATAAATTCTCCCTGTCATCGCATGACGGCTGCCGAGATTGGAAAAATATTTCTGTTATTATTAAACGACATGAAACATCAAGTGGCCACACTACTGCATATCTAAATTTGAGAGATCTGGAGGTGAGACTTAAATCAGGGGCTACGATTGATCACATTAATCAGAAAATAATTCAATCTGAAACTCAACATTGGCGACAAGTTCTTGCAAGAATAATAACGTTAATTAGAACTCTTGCTGGACAAAATCTAGCATTAAGAGGAACATGTGAAAAGCTTTTCGAACCGAATAACGGAAATTTTCTTAAATTTATTGAATTCTTAGGAAATTATGATCCTATTATGAGTAAACATATTCAACGAATAATAACAAGTGAAATTCACACCACCTATCTCGGAAAAACTATTCAAAATGAAATCGTTGAATTGCTTGCTAATAAAATCAAAAATGACATCTTAGCAAAACTAGAGCGAGCAAAGTACTACTCACTTATTTTAGACTGTATCCCCGATATAAGCCACATAGAGCAGATGACAGTTGTTTTTAGGTTTGTCAGTGCAACTGAAATATCTTCGGAAAAACCAGCTGAAGTCGTAGTTTCTGAACACTTCGTAACTTTTCTTGAATTACAAGACACAACGGGAGCAAATATGACAAAAGTTGTTATCGATAAGTTGCAGGAATTAGGCGTAAATTATGATGACATGAGGGGACAAGGGTACGATAATGGAGCCAACATGCGCGGAAAATATAATGGTGTGCAAGCCAGAATTCGTCAACTAAATCCTCGAGCTTTTTTCGTTCCTTGTAGTGCCCACTCGCTCAACTTGGTATCGAACGATGCAGCTAATTGTTGTATGGAGGCTGTCGCATTCTTTGATTTAATTCAAGGCATTTATAACTTTTTCTCAGCATCAACTCACCGTTGGAGTATATTATTAAACCACCTAAGCGATCTGACTATAAAACCGTTAAGTGCCACTCGTTGGGAAAGCAGGGTCGGTGCCGTACGGACACTTCGATTTCAGATTAGTGGAGTTTACGATGCACTAATTGAAATCGCAGAAGACAATACATTAACTACTGCACCACAAGTCAAGAGTCGCGCAGAGGCTAAGGGAATAGCCAGAAATATTTCAAATTTCAAATTTGTTTGCTCCTTGGTATTGTGGTATGACATTTTATTCTAAATTAATATTGTCAGCAAAATGCTCCAATCACAGGCTTTAGACTTGTCGCTTGCTCTAGAGCATTTAAACGCTACCAAATCTTTCCTATGCGATTATCGCTGTGATGAAGAATTTGCCGCAATGGTTGAAAATGCAAAAAAATTGGCAGTTGAACTAGAAATTTTTGAAGGATTTGATGTGGATGATCCCGTACGCGTACGCAGAAAGAGTAAACAATTCCTATACGAAGGTCGTGATGAACCGATAGTATCACCAGAACAAAACTTCAGAGTATCTTTTTTCAATCGAATATTGGACATCGCAATTCAAGCAATAAATGAAAGATTTACGCAATTATCGGAATATAACGAGTTATTTGGGTTTCTTTACAATATCGGCAGCAAACCCTTAACGGATGATGAGTTATTGAAACACTGTAAGGACTTGCATTTAGCGCTTATGTCTGATGGCCAATCTGATATCAACGGGGTCGAACTTTGGTATGAAATTAAAGCTATTGGGAGACGACTTGATACTTCCAATAGCGATCCAAAAAGTGTATTAAAATGTATTTACACAACTAATGTTGTCGAAGTATTCCCAAACCTTTCGATAGCTCTTCGCATACTACTAACGTTACCAGTCACAGTTGCCAGTGCTGAAAGAAGCTTTTCAAAGCTGAAAATAATAAAATCCTATTTGAGATCACAAATGTGTCAAGATCGTTTAGTTAGTCTAGCTACGATTTCCATCGAGAAAGAAATTGCTGATCATTTAGACATAGAAGATTTGGTTAAAGATTTCGCAGAATTAAAAGCTAGGAAAATTCACTTTTAATTACGATTTGTTTTTTATTTTTTCATGAATGGAATTTGTTTTGTTTATTATTTTTGTATAAATTGAGTTTTTTTGTTTTCTATATTAAAGTTTGATTTTCAGTGTTTTTCTATTTTCCTTCAAATTGGAAATTATTGCATTTTTAATTATTGGGGCGGCAAATTTGCATCTCGCCTACACATAGAAAACTGTTAAAACCGGGCCTGTATAAAAGTTCGTATATAAAAGTTATTTGTATATAAAAGTTGTTCGTATATAAAAGTTCGTACATAAAAGTTATTCGTATAAAAAAAGTTCGTATATAAAAGTTCGTATATAAAAGTTGTTCGTATATAAAAGTTATTTGTATATAGAAGTTATTCGTATATAAAAGTTCGTATATAAAAGCTATTTGTATATAAAAGTTTGTATATAAAAGTTGTTCGTATATAAAAGATATTCGTATATAAAAGTTGTTCGTATATAAAAGTTCGTATATAAAAGTTGTTCGTATATAAAAGATATTCGGATATAAATGTTGTCCGTATATAAAAGTTGTTCGTATATAAAAGTTCGTATATAAAAGTAATTTGTATATAAAAGTTGTTCGTATATAAAAGTTCATATATAAAAGTTATTCGTATATAAAAGTTCGTATATAAAAGCTATTTGTATATAAAAGTTTGCATATAAAAGTTGTTTGTATATAAAAGTTATTCGTATATAAAAGTTGTTCGAATATAAAAGTTCGTATTTAAAAGTTGTTCGTATATACAAGATATTCGTATATAAATGTTGTCCGTATATAAAAGTTGTTCGTATATAAAAGTTCGTATATAAAAGTTATTTGTATATAAAAGTTGTTCGTATATAAAAGTTCGTACATAAAAGTTATTCGTATAAAAAAAGTTCGTATATAAAAGTTCGTATATAAAAGTTGTTCGTATATAAAAGTTATTTGTATATAGAAGTTATTCGTATATAAAAGTTCGTATATAAAAGCTATTTGTATATAAAAGTTTGTATATAAAAGTTGTTCGTATATAAAAGATATTCGTATATAAAAGTTGTTCGTATATAAAAGTTCGTATATAAAAGTTGTTCGTATGTAAAAGATATTCGGATATAAATGTTGTCCGTATATAAAAGTTGTTCGTATATAGAAGTTCGTATATAAAAGTAATTTGTATATAAAAGTTGTTCGTATATAAAAGTTCATATATAAAAGTTATTCGTATATAAAAGTTATTCGTATATAAAAGTTCGTATATAAAAGCTATTTGTATATAAAAGTTTGCATATAAAAGTTGTTTGTATATAAAAGTTATTCGTATATAAAAGTTGTTCGAATATAAAAGTTCGTATTTAAAAGTTGTTCGTATATACAAGATATTCGTATATAAATGTTGTCCGTATATAAAAGTTGTTCGTATATAAAAGTTCGTATATAAAAGTTATTTGTATATAAAAGTTGTTCGTATATAAAAGTTCGTACATAAAAGTTATTCGTATAAAAAAGATTCGTATATAAAAGTTCGTATATAAAAGTTGTTCGTATATAAAAGTTATTTGTATATAAAAGTTATTTGTATATAAAAGTTATTCGTATATAAAAGTTCGTATATAAAAGCTATTTGTATATAAAAGTTTGTATATAAAAGTTGTTCGTATATAAAAGTTATTCGTATATAAAAGTTGTTCGTATATAAAAGTTCGTATATAAAAGTTGTTCGTATATAAAAGATATTCGTATATAAATGTTGTCCGTATATAAAAGTTGTTCGTATATAAAAGTTCATATATAAAAGTTATTCGTATATTAAAAACGTTCGTACATAAAAGTTGTTCGTATATAAAAGTTACTCGAATATAAAAGTTAATTATATATAAAAGTTGATCGTTTATAAAAGTTCGTATATAAAAGTTGTTCGTTTATAAAAGATATTCGTATATAAAAGTTGTTCGTATATAAAAGTTCGTACATAAAAGTTATTCGTATAAAAAAAGTTCGTATGTAAAAGCTATTTGTATATAAAAGTTCGTATATAAAAGTTGTTCGTATATAAAAGTTATTTGTATATAAAAGTTATTCGTATATAAAAGTTCGTATATAAAAGCTATTTGTATATAAAAGTTTGTATATAAAAGTTGTTCGTATATAAAAGTTATTCGTATTATAAAAGTTGTTCGTATATAAAAGTTATATAAAAATCAATATGAATGTTGTTCGTTTTAAGTTTTTTTGTTTTATGTAGTAGTTTATTACCTCCGCCTGATTTATCACCTCCCCCCATAGAAAACTCAAAACGAGATTGCGCTTTTGGTTTATAGCTGTTAAAATTGTACCTACGACATCCATTTACCGCAATAAACTTCAGCAACAACAACTTAAAGGAAAGACAAGGTCAACAATTCTAGTAGTAAAATTTACTCGGTCTGTTGAGATGTTCCAACTCCATATTTTTGAAAGGTAATTAAAGAAAAAACAATAGTGATATAAATTATACTATAATTTGTAACT